TGGATATCGCTCTGCTCTAACCGCACGCCCGTTTCTTTCGTCCCTGATACCCGGTGCGTTCTCCTCAACCTGAACCGCCTGCGATCGCGATTTCTCTAATTGCTCGCTTCGAGCGGTGCATCGAAACGAGATAGTAAAACGCAACGCCCGATCCCTGCCGCATTGAGTAACGCGCATAGCCGCGCGGGCAAATAAACTTCGATTATTATTGTTTCCAGCGTGGGCAATTTACGGAGCTTAGAACCTAGAACGCGTGGCAGGCCGAGGGATCCGGACTCGCGTTAGCGGTGCGCGAGATCATTCTTAAGCGTCTCTCGCGGTTCGCTCGCGGAGCAGAAAAATCCTCTGCCCTCGTATAGTAGTTCCTAGATTAGCAAGTCACTAATGACCCGGCCATTCGTCATGCTACATAATTCTCCTCCCGTGTTTGATACTAATACGAATTCGCGGCCGAGCCGAACCAGCACCACCGTAATCACCCTTCGCGCGGAGCCGAGCACGCGGAGGACGCCGAATATCTCGCCAATTCGCGCGACTGACCCAGAATGCTTTCTAACTTCGCGAGAAAACTGGAACGTGTTCCAGTCAAACTGGATCCCCATTTCCAGCGGTGATCGGCGAGAAGAGCAACGGAGCCACAAACCTATATTTACCGCGACGCCGTGCCGCGGATTCGCATGGGCCGCGAGAAAGAGAGACCTCCCGCGCTACGCTCTTGAGTAACACCGCCGAGGTAATACCGTTTCCATCGGGGGTAGCTTGGAATTTCGTTTATTACCATCGCTCCGGCAAACCTTCCGTCACTTTCGAAACTCGCAATCCTGAAAATTCGCATTTGCTACCGGTTTTATCTCGTACCGTTTCCATCGGGGGTTGCTTGGAATTTCGTTTATTACCATCTCTCCGGCAAACCTTCCGTCACTTTCGAAACTCGCAATCCTGAAAATTCGCAGTTGCTACCGGTTTTATCTCGTAACGTATCGCCTTTTATGCACCGCGGATTCGCAAAATCGTAATTTCGCGCGTATTTCGTTAAGGTAATAATTTCTATCGTTGAGAGATTTTCAGGACTCGCGTATTATCAATTTACCGGTATCAAATTGGATCATTGAATAAATAAATATTTAAACTTGGAGATTTCGAATCACGAGGAGAGTGGAAAGTTTTATTTTCCGAAAATTCGAGAGCTTCTCGAGTTTCACGTTTCCGAGGTCTGCAGGAATCCCTGTTTCTCGTCCATATACCTGTAGTGTACCTTCCTCGGGAAGGCAGAGGCTCGAAAACCTAAACCCATCCGATTTCCACCCATGCTTTCGTGGATCTAGCGATTTCCTCGGACCTTGACCGATATTCGAGCAGACGCTGCACCAAGGTTCTCACGTGGATTGAAAAATTGCACCCAACTAGTTTGCATAATGTTATTCGAACGATAATTAAGCGGGATGAAACGTAATACACGGCGAGACTCGAGACGGGATTGCACGCAACAAGTGTGGAAATTCAACAAGTACTGGCAGCCATTACGTCGTCCCGTCTCGTCGTTAAATTATCATACGTATGCAACGAGATAAGTTTCAGTTATCGATCGGGATAGACGTCGTCTCGTTGCAATCGGGTAAGAAAAATGGGAAATTAATCGCCGGTAATGAGCGCGAAATACGGTCGTGCGGCTGCACGTACGTTTACCCAGAGGAAAAGAAGAAACGTTGCAGGGTACAAGAACACCGATATCCCCGTATGCCGGTTGCATCAGTGGCGTAGTTTCGAATTAAAAAAGAGCAATCAGGCCTCGCTTTTCGAAAGCACCCGCAGCCATTGCCGCGCGACTTGCGCAACCGCGGGGTGCTCGCGTGAAAACAAAAACGCGTAACGTTGTAATTGTATCGAATCCATGGCGCCACTGTAATTTAACGATCCAGAGCAATCTATTTTCTATCATACGTCGGGGAAAATTCGCGGGATCGAGATTTATCTGAGACGGAAAGTGAAAGGCGCGAGCTTGCGTAACTCGTCTTTCGTGCCATATTAATAATTACTGCTCGAGTTTGGCGACTCATCCGTAAGAAATTTATACATCCTCCTTTAGTTCCCGTGGAGAGAATTTCGCATAAATAACTCGGAGTAATAACTCACGATGGGAAAAAAAAAAAAAAGGAAAAGAGCGAGAATTTATTTTTACCCGATGACTCCCAGCCGTGGTAGTATTTCCCAGAAACGTTACGTACACTCGGTTCATTGAGTAATCTCTTCTGAAAGTCGATACCCCTTAAAGACCACGCTGCTGCCCGGTTACGACCCAAATATTTCGACGATAAGGTCGACGCAACGAGCACACCATGAACGTGTGTACTGTTTACGTCGTGCGTCATGTCCGTGTCTGCTTTCATCTCCGCTCCAACATCGCTATCTCGCGATACACTGGCGCTCGATTGAATTAGAATTCGCGTGACACGATGGATAGTACACGGTGTACACAGCGACGTGCCGCGACGCGTAGTATCTAACAAATATTTACCAGCTATACCCGGGAAATCGGTAGGTACGCGCGAAACCGCGTGTCTGAATTACTAATCGAGCCGCAATGGATGGTCGCGCGAGCCTCGAAACTACAGCTGCCAGAGTTTCACCGGCACGTTTTAAAATACCGATTTTATCCTCGAGTTTGTGCACACCGTGTGGCGGAGAGATTAATTTCGTTACCCTACTTTCGTCGCTTTTCACCTTCTTCCGTGAGACAGCCGCGAAACGACCCGCATGAATTCTACCCGGTAAACCGTGCACGAAATTTTCGCGGTGACGAAGGGGTACGGGTACCCCGTGCGCGTGCAACCAAGATGGAAAGACCCGCGACCACCCTTCGAGAGAGCAAAGGAGCTGGTAGCAGAGACGCGAGGTAGAATAGACGAACTTTCACTTTAATTCGTTCACGAGAGGTCGCGACCCGGGGCTGGAATCGGCCCGATCGGTATATTAGTTAATGGTATTTTAACAAGGATTACATTCGAGGCCTCGTATAACCGGCATACCTCCTGTTTATGCGCCGAACTTTTGCCCGAGACCGTAATTAACAAGCGCAGGTAGCTACCTGTATCGATGGCCGGTAGCACGTGAGGTTCCTCGTACGGCAGGATCCCTCGGTCCTTAAAGCTGGTCATGATTCATTCATGAGGCGAGCCTTCAATTGCAACGACCAACCAGGGAAACGAGCACAGCCGCGGACGAGACTCGCGGTCCCCGATGACGATTTCTCGATATAGCGTTTCCAGAAACGAGTATGCGACTCAAGGTCGGCGAAATTACCTTTACGCGCGATCGCGTCGGCTAATTCTATTACGACGCCGCGGCGTCCGCTCGCAATGGCGTATCGGGTCGGCTTAATTATTCGATTGGCGAACCGGTGTGCCCGAGTCGAACGAAAAACAGAGGTGGGGCCCCGGACGGAGCGAGCCGTGCTATTCCGACGATTCGCGTTGCTCCAGGCGCTCGCTTCGAAAAACGATCGTGTCGAAAGGCCGGAGAAGGAAGCGGTGTCGACCTTCGACGACGCGAAGAAGAAGCAACCCACGGATTTATCGACGTAAAGGTCAAGGCACTCGGGGCTATATATCGCGTCGATGTCAAGGCCGACGCACCGGCCGGACGCTACACCGGCGCGCTGAATTTTTCATTCGGGAAATCGATCGAACCTCGGGGTCTACGACCCTGGGCAGATCTATTACAGAGATCTGACACGGTCGGCCATAGAGGGATTAAAAACGGAGTAAACCGAGAGACGAGAGGAGAGGAATAATGAAATTCTGAGTCTAAAGCTGGAAATTTTACGACGCGTGTCGATCGAGATGGAAAAAAGTATACACGCCGAAAGACGATGGAGCAGAATCTTACGATTGTTCCACTCGGTATACACGGACTACGGGTTGGATAAAAACATTCCTGTATCAGACGTAGATTCCCTCGTTCAACCTTCGCGTTTGAGTCATTCTCCAAACACGGGATACCTCGACCACTTTGACCACTACAATAACAGAGGCCCGAAACGCTGAAGCGTGGTCGATACCTTTAGAACGCTCGAACACGTTCGCCGTACGCGCGCGAGTACAGGAAAATACGAGCCGTGGAGCTCGTAGATGTACACAAACGAAACGAGGTAGTCAAGGAACACGCGATCTTCCTTCCTCGTGGAAAGTAACGCGGAGGAACAATACGCTATAGACGGAAAATGGTCGAGGTCCGCATGTGAGAAAAATTCCCTGAGAATGTTTAGCGCGTTGTTAATGGCGAGTACATACAATCGGGGATGCGCGCACCTCGTGCCGCGATATCCCGTTGCGAGCTCGTTTCTGCTGCGTCGAGGCTGTTGATCGCGCTCGCGAGCAACACACGAACACCGGAGATCCGGCAAGGATCGTTATCTCCGCGAGCTTGCCCGTGCAAAAGAAAGAGACGGGATCCGTTAAAATCCGCGGCTATTCGTTTCTTCTGCGCAGCACGGGAGCGCGGCGCATGCGCGTGAATCGTAAACGCCATGCTTGATTTTTCGCCTTTCTTTACGTTTCGAATGCGACACGGTTACGAATAACACGAGCATCGAGTAAGATAATGCGATTTACTTTCGATGTCTGTAGGTTTAATTTCGATCCATCGATGCCGAGGGTTACGGGACCGTTATGTAAGCGATCGTGTAATTTTCGTTCGCACGTGGAGCGACTCCGACTGACGGTTTGGAAAGGAAAAAGGAGGGCGGAATGATGGCCGCGCGCGAGGGGAGCGAGGGCCGACGGGCAGGTGTACGAATAAAGAGCACAACGCGGGGCACCCTGCTCCGAGCCGCAAGAAACGCGAGAAACAACAAGGAGCACTGGCCAGGAGCGTCTCGGGTTCGCGAGCCCGTGGAATCCCTAGGGGAATATCGCAGCGGTGGTGCTGCACGCCACCTGGCAGCGGCGAGCTGACAGCTGGCGTTAGACCGATGGAACGGAAAAATTGAAACAAATAGATACCTGTAAGTTCGCAGATTCCCACCTGTTGATTCAGCCTCGACTAGCTTTTCTTGCGGTTGCTACGCGCGGGCCCGGTTCCAGCGGACAAGCGTTATCCAGGATGACGACCGGTCGTGGTTCGTAGAAGGCACACAGAGCAAGCCGGAGAGCGTGCGAAGGAAGGAAGGAGAAAGAGACAGACAGAGAAAGAGAAGGAGCGAAAGAGAGGGAGAGAGAAAGAAGGATCGGTGATAGCGCGTGAGGGACGGAGACCGAACGAGCACATCCACTGTTACACGCACAGCACGTTAACGCGCCGGCTGAATCCTGCCCCCGCTGTAAACCACGTGCGAGATTCTTCGTTGATAAAATATCGATCGTCGACGACCGAGCTCACGACGATGACATCGTCGCGGAGGCAGGCGAAACGTCAGTGCGCGAACAAGCGTCCTTTTCAGCGTCTCGTGACGACGGCAGAAAGGACACCGTCATTCCACCGTCGAGTTTGGAACGAGGCGCGTTCCACGATCCACTCCGCGCGAGCGCTGATACACGACTGTAGCCGAAGTTGCACGACAGCATGGCCGAGCAGCGAGGCCGAGCGCCGGCGAAGCCGACCGAGTCGGCCCGAAGCCAGCCGACCGCGGCCGAACCTACGAGATGGAATGCACGCGGACGGAAATCAGGCGGGATCGGAATCGGGATCGAGCTTGGCTTTGCGCTCGGGCTCTCGGGATTGGGCTCGGACTCTCCGGTTCGAAGGCGATCCAAGGCAAACGACCGCTCTACCCCGCTTCTTTCCTTCCTCCGCGCCGTGCAGCCCCCACCGGCCGCTATAATCTATGTCTATTATCCTCTCTGTGTTTCTTTATTCCCTATATACCGGCCTCTCTCTTCCCCTCCTTTCTCTCTTCCTCGCGATGTTGGTTTTCTGGTTTGTTGCTATAGCCACCATGCGAAATTTCCAGCCCGGATAGCCGATAATTAACGCGTTGTTGTGTCTAGACTGGCGTCCAGCTTTTTCCATCGGTCCCCGTTTTCCATCCATCTAGCCAACTAGATTTGCAATCGATTCCCATGAAATCGAGAGCAAATTGAATCGGTTCGAGGCATCCTCCTCCCCGTTAAGTATCGCGTACACATCGCCTCGTTCGATAATTCTTATTTCCGCCGATCGCTCGATTCCAGTCGTCCAACGAGCGAAAACGATTTATCGCGATGAAGCCTCCGCTCCCGGAGTGGGTGTAGCGTATACTCGTTTGATAAAAGAGAAGAAAGGAAATGGGAGAAAAGGAGGAGAAAATAAAATGGAACAAGAAGACGCGAGGGAATTTCTTTTCGTGTAGCGTTTGTTTCGCCGCGCAACCCGTGTCTCATTTGCATATCCCGGAATGTGAAATTGAAGATGACAAATAAGAGCAAAAGTCGCTTAATGGCGAAACCCGGTACCGAGGCGCGGGGTGGGGCGTATAAAAATTCCTGGCGTATCGCGTACGCGGGACGATACATTTCTTTTCCGTCAAATCGAATGTTATCGTTAATCACATCGGATTCCCGCGACGAAGATAAAGTGGCTCCCTGACGAATTTACATTAGCGCACGGCGGCGGCGACGGCGTCGTCGTCGTCCGGGGATCCAGTCTCGCAATTAGAACGCTCGCTCTCTTAAAACCCATACGACGATATCGAAGTTACGCGGTAAACCTTTTAATCCAATGCCCCGTGATAATATGTTAATATTTCAGGGGCTAAAGGAAATCAACTCGGCCTGTGCACGAGTCCGGTTCGTTCTCGATGAAAGTTCTGGTCCCGTTCTAACGAATCTTCGCATTGCGCAGGTGCTGTTTATACGTGGAAATTCTTAACGCAATACTTCCGAGACGTGGGCGGCAATGCTTCTGAAACGTACATCATCCGCAGCCTTCGTTCCGGATCTAATCTCGTAACCTCGTCATTAAGGGCTCTTCACGCGGGTTTCACTCCTTCGCGGGCCCGCCGACGCCATTGGGAAAGGCGCGCGATGACGATGACACGAAATTCAACGATAACGGATTAACGTCCAGGCAGATATACACGGATGTTTATCGTGGTCATCGGTGGCCCCGCCACAAAGAGATGTACATTCTCGACACCATAAAAATCCTCGCGAGTTCCTCGCTTCCTTCACCCACGCGGCCCCCCGTCCCATAAAATGTGACTAAAACGCTGCGTTCCTCGCGTTTATTACACGTTTACGAGTGTACTTACGTAATGTCGTGTGCGTTTCGACTCGGTGTGACTTTACGATTCGTCCACGTCGTTTATCAGTGTAACGCGAAAATCGCGGGTTCGTACATTTCGCGGAACACGCGCCGATCGGTATACGAGCACTCTCGTTCCCCCCCTGTGGTAATGGTCGTTCGTTCCATCGTTCCCTTCGCCTCGCCTTCTAACGAAGTCATCGAGCATAGGGAAAAACCGTAATTCGAGTGGAACAATGATCGATTCCCGTTCACTTTTCGTAGAAAGTTTACCCGCGCAGGCCGGTGCACTCCCACGCGCTCGACATTCCTCTTGTTCTTGGCCAGTTTGGAAAAAAAGGCAGGCGTTCGTGCGCTGCGAGTGGCACACGCGCCATCGCGCATACCATCGCGCCGCGTCGACCAAGACGTTCCTTCGTCTTGCTGACCATCTGCCTTGCCTTTTGTCAAGGACGACGGTCGCGCTGCCGCTGCGTTCGAGGTCGATCCGACGATCGCAGCCATTAAACCATTCCTAAATACCCGAGAGTGCACGGCGGATGATCGCCGATCGCGTTTACTCTCGACGACGTCCGTCGAGCGGAACGCCGCGCGTCCCGCTGCTCTCTCGGCCCGTCGCGAAAGAAAGCGAAGGTATGCACGGCCCGCGTGTCACTCTCTGCTTGTATTTAAATCGCTGTGCCGCGTATCGATCCGCGCGCGCATTGTCCGCTCGTCACGATACGTGTCACGCACGTGGCTGCCTGTATCCGATCGCGGTCGGGGCCCCTTGCTGGAAGCACCGCGACGAGAACACATCGGAGACATAGTTTCCTCGTTAATCACCGTGATTACGCTATTTTCGCGTGGCGCAACCGCCACGGAAAGGCGCCTTTGTGTTCCGATGACCGGATCGACCGCCTCCGTCCTCGCGCGGAGCCGGTAGACCCGCGATTGCTAAATTCGGGATCTTCTCTCTACGATTGTGCAACCCGACCTCCTTAAAATTGCTTTCGACGTTGCGTCATTTAGGGTTCTGGGTCGATACAGAAAACTTTCTCATTTTGGAACAGCCGCGATCGGGGTTTCCGAAAGGGAATGTCGCGAGCGACATCCGTTCCCTTCCCAAGCGTCATGCATCCGACCCCGAACGTTCAACTGGCCCCCGCATTGGGATACACCGAAATGGTGATTTATCGCAGACACGCGAGGCAATCGTAATTCCTATCGATTCGGCTAACAGGCTAGACGCATTGCCGGATGGCCGAAAATAGAATCGCATTCTCCGAGTGATTTATCGGTCGTTTCATTTCACCCGGATTAGCGTTTCCTCGCGTCGAGTCCTCGTTTGCCGCTGCGAGAACCGTCTAATCTACGCCAGGCTACCATTGTTATTTTGACACCCATTAACCGTCAATCCTTCCCTCGCAATTTGCCAGAGCCGTGACAGCCCCTCGGTGATCCGGCGATTCTTTTTCGCGGGTCTCGCGCTCGATGGCGACGCGCCACCAGGTACAGTCGGCTTGTCGTTACGACATCGGTCATTCGATATCTAATCGCGTTAAATTAATCCCATTCGCCGTGGCCCGATCCGTAGAAACGGCGGCGAGGTATGATTTTAACGGGCATAAATCAAGAGACGCGTGTGTTTTACCGCTATTTTTAACCGGCCATTGGGTTTTCGAGCGGCGAGCAAAAAAGGTAAAATGGCGGCGTGGCCGAAGAGGAGAAAGAGAAAGCACACGTGCAGGCACGGTGGCGCTGATTGCGAGAGACACGCAACAATCGCTGCAATTGACCGCGTAATAGAAACGCGTTATGCAGTCTACGGTAGGGGCCGGTAGGATACCGGTCGACCTTGAGAATGGACATGATTCCTTAACGCGCGTTTTCCCTTTTACGGAAGGGTTCCGCGTTCGCGTAATTGCCGCGCCACATTGCTCGGCCCGCGAAATTTCACTGGGCCCCGAAACGTCCAACCGACCGAGGGGCACACTGTGCCTGAACAACCTTCCAACCGTGCGATTTACCTCGTAGTCGTTCCCTTTCGACGAACCTCACTCCTTCGTAAAGGCAAACACGAATTTCCCACCTAAACCCGACGAGACTTTACCCGATCGTTGCGTTCTAACACGGTCAGTACCGCGTAATCTCGTTGCGGGAACAACGCAGCGATCGTGACGGATCGATCGTTCCACTTCGCGATGACACAGTGGCGACGCCTATGTAGCAAGATCCACGTTAATCTGGAAAAGCCACTCGGTCGGGGTTGACCGTCGATCAGGAATCGACGCTACGAATCCGTACCCTACCCGATAGGGACCAGGGCGGGGCGGCGTGAGACCAGTGGATCCATCCACGGGATTGGTTACCGTGTACTTTTTTATGGTAAATAGATGAAAGTCCATACCGTAGACCTGGCCGTGCAACGAACGGGTACGTATGCTAACTAAATGCAAATACGTCAGATCTGCATAATTTGCCACGGGATTTCTCCCCGTGTTTCGCATGCCTCGTTGTCTTTGACCAGCCACTCGGCTTACGCGGCGGTCTCGTTCCAGCAGTCTCGATCCTTATTCCCGGCGATTGGATCCGGTGGACGCGCGACACTCTCGCACGAGCGGACTTTTCTACGCCTGGCGTCGAGGAAACCTGGCCGCAGAGGAGCGACAGATCGAGAGATAACGACGTGCAGCGGAAAGAAAGTTATAACAGGGATCCCTGGGTAAGACCCGGGAGGACGTGCTTCGAGGAAAATTGCTAGAGTTTCTGGGAAGATGCGCACGAATGATGGAGGTCAGGTATACGAGACGGCGCGAAAGTGAAATCCTTAAGGAGGCACCGGGAAAAGAATTTTCTCGGCTAGATCGGTCGGATGGCGCGAGGTTGGCAGGTAGGCGACAACTCCGCACGAATCCTAACGGTTCGCAGAGGGGGACGCGTTTCGGAGGGTGAAAAATCGGCGTGTTTCAGTGGCGACGCTGCGGCAACTTGGTCGCTATGTGCCATAAATAGTAGGGCATAATTTTCCACGGATAAAGGAAGTGTCCGTTGTAATGTTACCGAGTATGGAACATTATGCTCGTTAAACGAGTTACCGGGAAGGGAACGCGTTCGCGGTTAACGGTCAACGAGCCGTCGATTCGAGAATGACGGGTATAAATAATCGTGCGATCGAGCACGATCGAGCCGAGATTTACCGTGATTTATCTTTCCACGCATCCGAGGGGCTTTTGCATATACTTTCCGCGGGATTGTAGGGTAGCTTAATTGACACGTCATCTCTTTTCGCGTTGCACGGCCGACCATTCGTCTTCCCTTCGATCCACGCGTTGGCATTAAATCAATTCCGGCCACGGACAAATTACCAAAATGAATTAATGGCCCCGACGCCGGTCCTAATTGGCCCCGAAATCGCGCGAACGAGCTTCGACGGGGGGAGAAGCGTCTTGTCGATCGATGCCGTGCCCTTTCGATATAAACAGCAGGAGATCCACCCTTGTCTGATTTTATCTGCCCGGCCAAAGTACATTCTACGCCCACGCGAAATTAATAGGCGCGATTCTTTTCCGGGGTTCGCTAGGCAGCTCGCTCGCTCGCCAGCGCGTGAGCGTGCGGATAACCTTTGCATTCTTTTAAATAATCCCGTTCCCGAGTGGGTGGACGAATGAATGAAACTACCCACACTCTGACAATGAAGCGCTTTTGCTAATCTAAGGCTAACTCATCGCCGGGTGTAATGGCGATTATGAAACCCAGCCGCCAAGTTGCTTCGTCCGAGTCGAACGGCTGCAAGATATATGGTCCGCGTTGTCAAGCAAACTCGAGAACTTGGAAAATTGAGCAAGGTAGAATATGAATTTCAGATTACCTCTCCGAGCGTTCGGCTTCTATTAGTTATCCGTTTCCGAAGGCGGAATTTTAATATTCGAATACGGGCTTCGCGAGCATTTTTTCTCCTCCATTCCCTTCCCCTTTTCTTCCGTTCGCCTCACGGAGAGGCGAGATAAGCGTGTACGCGTTGCTATGGAAACCTTCCAGGGTATATACCGTGCTCCCAGGATTATCGTTTAATTAACGAAGCAGTCAGCTTCGACCGAGTATACTGCCTTCTACAGGGGTAGAATTAATATTCCTCCAGAGGCGAATCTGCATCGCGTTTTCTGCATTCGTATGCGCGGAAAGAAATTGACGCTGAAAATCTCAAAGCCGAGCTACGCGCAAGCGTCCTCTTCAACGCGAGCGTCCAAGTATCGCGCACGCGACGAAACGTAAATTTGCGGATTTGCGTGCGAATTTGTACCCTTTCCCGCGTAATTAATCCCGTAATTAATACGTTTTAATTAATACGTTTCGCGATGAGAAAAGGAACGAGAAAGATACTAAGCTCGTAGCAGCTGCATAGACGGGGAAAAAGTTGACGATGGCTCGATTTACCTAGGTGAGGTAAATACCCTCAGTACCAGTACCCACTGCTCTGGTGGACGGATCGATCCTGAAATCCCTATGGGTGGTCTGACACGACCGATCGAATTAATACGATTCCAAAGAGAATCGCGAAACTTGGCTCGAATATCGTGAGAACGAAGATGAATCGCTCGCGAAGTAAACGAAAAGCAGAGGGACAATGCAAGAAAGCAGATGACAAGATTGGATTCTATAAGTAACTAAATTTCTTCTTATCGCGACTTTACAAAGAAATCCCGATCTTCTAGGCGAACGTTGTACGCGACGCCTTTTTCTTCATCTTCCGTTTCGCCGGCTCGTACAATTCAATTTCGCGCTTGATCAATTGGATCTTGTTCTTCAGCTCCGTTTCCAGCTTCATCACCTTTTGCATCTCTATCAACTCTTGCCTAAAATATCGTGGGAACTTGAGTCGCGTTGATCTGGCAAAGGTATTTCACGCGAGATGAGAGAAGCTTACTGAGCAACTAGGAGTCCAGCAGAGAGTCTCTTCTCGTTTAAGGTTTCCCGAACGTCGTTCAATGCCACGTGAGCTCTGTTCAGATGTTCACGGACCTTGGTATTCGCCTCGCGAAATTCGTCCAGTTGTTTCTGCTCCAGCTCTATGTCTTCTAAAATGCACTCCTCCTTTTCCTTGTACTGAGCCACCGCGTTTACCGTCTCCGCGATTCTGATCGACCAAGATAGAAAAGGAGTCTTATCTAGCGTGTAACCTAACTGGGGATGGGTTTCTTGAGATCTCGAAGTAACTCGAAACGTAGGCATGTCTGAGTATCTAGCTAGGTTTCCGAAATACTTTTTAGCTAACGGTCTAACACTCTAGTTTATAAAATCCTCGACATCTTACGAAAGAAATCAGAAAAATCTAGTTTGCAGCTGCAAACGCAATCCATAGACGTACTTGATTCGAAGCTTCTCCAACTCGCGATCCCTATCGTCCAATCTGTCCTTGTGATTAACATTGGCGATGTAAAGGGCCTCGTAGTCCATGGTGGTCATCCCTTCTCCGAGAGTTTCGGCGATTTTCAGTCGCATGTTTAATTCATCGAGTCGATGCTGAAGCAACACGTAGCTGTGGCGATCTCGCGCCAAGATCTCACGGCGTGCGGTCTGACACGAAAAGTTGGACGATCATCGTCAGCGTAGGAACGTCTAACACTCGCTGGGAGAAGGGGAAAGACACCTGGCGACGTATCAGGTTATCCATCAACTTCTCCGTGATCTTTCTGCCCGTTTTCGAGAAGATCAGACCCACGGCCGTTTCCTTCTGACGGTTCAGATACCCTTCGAAGATCCGATCGTCCTCTTCCTCCAGCGACTGCACCTTTTGCGCGTAAGTCTGCAAGTCGTACGTCATCTCTGCCTGCTCGCTCAGTATCTCTGCGACCTGCGTCTTGTATTCGCGCAGCACTTCCCTGTACTTCTCCTCCATCTGCTCCATCGTCTTCGTAGGATCCGAGGGTGTCAACCGTTGCTGGGTCTACGCGAGCGATCGCTTATGCAACTATGTTCGCGACTATAGGTCAATCTCGGACGCGGTTGCTCTTTTCAGAGAACCGGTGGAGGGTGCAACGCGAAAATGATACTCTTACGCAAGGATGAATCCGATCTGACCTTCTTCAAATGTCTAGACACCCACAGCTCCAGCATCCTGTTCTTCCGCCGCAATTCGGATTTTTCGGACAACATCTCCCGCAACTTGCCGACGATCTCTTCGCGATCAGCCAAATCCTGGCGCAGAAAAGAAACGGAAGCGAGGAACAACGGAACGTTATACCGGCGGTCTCTTCTTATTATTTACATCCTCTCCGTTTACAATATGTAGCGATCGCGAGCGGCCATTATGTGCAAATATACGGATTAAAGGCAGAGAAACGGCGGGAAGCCGGGTGCATAGAGGCACAGAATCTTAATCTATCATGGAGGTCGTGAGGAATAGCAATATCGCGGATGGAAGGAGAGAGAACGAAGGTTTATGCGCACCTCTGCAGGTATCTCGGCGAGCACGTGATCGGATTCCTCCGGTCGTGGCGCTTCCTCCTCGGGCTTTTCCACCGTAGAAACCGTCGTGGAAAGTGATACCTCCTCCTCCTCCTCCTCGCCTACTTCTTTCTTCTCGCGGTACTCGTCCTCGTACTTTTCATCTTCGTCGCTCCGAACCGTGATGGCGTCCCACGGAAACTCGTCCGTCTCTTTCGTTCCCGATGCCTCGACCTCTTCCGTGCCTTCTTCCGCCGCTTCCGCCATTTCCTCGCCGAAATAATCCTCCAACTCATCGATCTCTTCCATAGGAAAGGTTACGTCGAACTTGTACCTCGGGATCTAACGAATTCGCGCGGGTTGGTGCGAACTATTGGAATCGAGAGATCTCTTCATGAATCGTTCGTACCTCTACGTCACCGTGGAGCCTCACGATGTCCAAGGAAAATCTTTGGTCGTTCCCGGACGTGGTCATGATGCCTGGTGGTGGGAAGCGCGGGTCAGGTATAGAGAAATCCGGCGAACGCGATTCGAGGAGGTTGCACGAGTCGGCAGGGATAACCAAGGTGGCACCTGAACGTAGGTGAATACGGAGGAAGGGAACAGATGCGGGACGAAGAAAACAGTCGAACGAATTCGCTGTGGCTGGATCGACGCCTCCTCGAGAAGGCCTCGAGCCGCATGCAGTCGACCTTGAAGATCGAAGATGATCTTCCCTCTCGAGAGCGCGCTGGCGCGCGTATACGGCGTTGCTTGTTTAACTGCTCGCGCCGGTCTCGCGCGCCGCGGAGATGCTCGGGAGGAAAAGTTCCTCGCGGGACGTCGATTAAACCGCTGCGAGCTACCGGACACCGTCGGTGCGGATGCACGGTGTATCCTGCGGCGCGCAGGCTATGATTTCATCTCTCTATGTGCTTTATTCCACGCTGCCACGGTCTCCGTGCTGATGTATGAAAAGTTT